AATCCCAGAGAGCTAAAAGGATGAAGAAAATGATTCTTGTTCACACAAATATTTGTAGCAGTTCTTTTTGTTATAACAAAGAACTGGAAACTAAGGGAATGTCCATCAGTTGGGAAGAGTCATGAATGAACACTAGTTGTTTTGAAAAAGGTCTGGGGTTCCTAATGGACTAAAAGCAGTGTGATTTGACACTAAAAAAAAAAAACTAATGTAATCTTGGGACAGGTAGGTAATGCAGTGGATAGAATGCTGGGCCTGAAGTCAGGAAGATTCATCTTCCTGAGTTTAATTCTAGCCTCAGATACTTACTAGCTGTGTGGCTCTGGGCAAGTCACTTAACCCTGTTTGTCTCAGTTTTCTCATCTGTAAAATGAACTGGAGGAGGAAATAGCAAACTACTCTAGTCTGTCTGCCAAGAAAACCCCCAACGGGGTCACAGAGAGGCAGACCTGACTGAAACAATTGAACAACAACAATCTTGGCCTGCATTAAGAGATAATAAGATTATTTGTGGCAAATAAATACTGTTGTTATGCTGGACGAGTTCCCCATCAGCATTCTTACCACTGGCATCCAGTATATTTATTTGCTCCAGGGTTGCCAATTAATTCAAAGATTAGCCTGGGAAAACTATAATTAGGAACGAAAGTCACCACCCACAAAATCATATCGTGCATTGCAAAGCCAAATATAGATGACTTCTGGATTCTCTGGATCGTCATTCTTTTCCTTTTGGGAAAAAAAGAATTAGTTGCATAAGCCTTTAGAAATGAATTGTGAACAGTTACATCGAGGAATAGGGTAGAAAGTGACTGGAGTGTACGTCTTATCCAAAGCTCCTTCACATGGCCAGATGGCAATAATGATTGTGGGGAAAGGCTTTAGAATTCTTTGTTGTTGTCTCTCCCCCCACCAATGTACCATACTCTCGTCATTTTAAGGCCATGGAAACCTTATTGTTATTATTTTAGGTGGCTATGAAGGCTATTGGGTATATAGCACATTGATTTATAACTGTGGTTGATAAGGGATTCTAACCCACTTACAATTCCGTACATTTGTGGCACTGTTGGTGTTGGCATCTAACCCAATTACGAATTGTGCCACCATTGTGCCGAGCAGCCTTAGTAGAGGAACAGATGGAGGAGAGGAGAAGATGGGATGTCACCCTGAGTAGGGCTTCGACAGCGACAATTTGAAGGAATATGAGTGGGTGGGTACTCAGTCCCTAGCCCACAATCATCAGATATTCTGGAATGGAGTCTTGTGCTTCTCCACATCCAGACATAGGTAATCTAGTCCCCTGGGACCTGTAGGGAATGCTACAAATTTGCACAAGATATACCCATCCCCCTCAGTGGGTAATGGTCAAAGGATTATGAATTAATCATTCTCAAGGGGAAAAATGCAAACTTCATAATCTGTGGCAAGAACTGATCAAAGTCTCTAATGAGAGAAATACAAAAGAAAAAACTTTGAGAAACAATATTATAGCCATAAAATTGTCAAAGACAGTTAAAATAATAAAATTCAGTGTTGGCAAGGATGGGGAAAAGGTACTTAGTTATACTGCTGGGTAGAGTTGGGAACTGTATAATTTTGGGGAGAAGTATCTGGTGATATAAATAAATTACTAAAATGGATAAACCCTAGTGATTCCAATAATAATAATAATAATAATAACAGGAATTGAACTTTTAATTTTATTACTATTGAAAACTCCTTCTACCAGTTCAGGTCAGCATCTTCTCTATAACTTAGAGGCTTAAAGACCTTCCTTCTCAGGGTCTCATTTTCTTCACCTGTAAAACTAGAGGGTTAGGAGACTCTTTAAGTATCTTTTCTGCCTCTGAATTCTATTTTACAGATAAATTTGGGCTGAGGTTAAGTGACTTGCTCAGAATTTCATGGTGGTGTCTAAGATGAGAGTTGAACTCGGGTCTTTCTGACTCCAAGTATAGTGCTCTTCTAGGACTATATTGCTGAAGATGCTATTGAAAAGGAGTCTGGATTCCCAAGTCCTGTTCTGACTACACTGCTTATAAAGCCTTTGACAGTCATTTCAGCTCTCAGGGTCTCAGTTTCCTCACCTGTAAAATGGGAGAAGAGGTAGAATTTTGGCCCAAATGGTTTCCCAAATGGAAGCAAGCACCCTAGCTCCCACCTACCTACGCTAGCAAAAACTAAATATTGTACCCAATCGAATAATGATCAAGAAATCCACTGAGAATTAAATGATTTCCTATACCCCAGAACTACAAGGGGAATCAACCAGAAGTCCATGGGTAACAAGAAAGAGCCCGGCTGGCAGGGCCAACATTGATAGGGGCAAATAAATGAACTGTTTCATGTGATCAGAGCCAGGCCAGAGATACTTGTCATCTGCAAGGGTTTGTATGTGGTGGCAGTGAGAATGGAGGGCTCCTTTGAGAAGCCCCAGGGTGGCTGAGAACAGATGGGGAGGGACCTTTGATGTGACACTTTGGATACAGTAGCACTCAGACCAGAAGCCCCCTGTCCCACAGGCTCCCAGGTCCCGAGCACTCTGACCTGAGATGCCACGAAGGGTTCAAACTCTGAGCCTCAGAGATCCAGAATGGCCTAATCTCAGGAGGTAGAGGTTAGTGTGGGGGTCTGAGGGAACCCAAGTAAGACTATAATGGTCCCCCCACCCACCAAGGAAGACTTAGGTTTATCCTGAGCGAGGCTCTGAATTTTTCAGTGCCCCAACCAGCTCTCTTAAACTATGAACTGCAGAACAGATTCCAATCTGTATTGTTAGGAGTTTCCTTACTGAGAGTTCCCCAGACCAATTAAATCGCCAATCCATATTTCCGCCTCACCTCCTAAAAAGTTTTTACATGGGGCAGCTAGGTGGCACAGTGGATAGAGCACCAGCCCTGGAGTCAAGAGGACCTGAGTTCAAATTCAGCTTCAGACACATAACACTCACTAACTGTGTGACCCTGGGCAAGTCACTTAACCCTGGTTGCCTCACCAAAAAAAAAAAGTTTTTACATAGGATCATAGAGGTAGAGCAGTAAGAAACCTTGGATACCAACTAGTCCTGCAGAGCAATAGAGGCCCAGAAAGATTGATTTGTCCAATATCACACAGATAGTATGGATCAGAAGCAGAATTTGAACCCAGGTCCTTTGATGCCAGCACTTTAGGTGATTTCCACTATCCCATGCTGCTGTTTTTCTGAGCCATTTTTCTTTCCATATTTCTCTCTATCCTCTAAGCTTTGCCATTTTATGGCTGAATCATATTCCACTGCATTGGTGTGTGTAGGCAAAGTGGGGTGTCAGGATTAGAATGCTGGACTTGGATTTGGATAGGTGAGTTCAAATCTGTCTGTAACACCTACTAACTCTAGGACCCCAAGCAAGTTTTGTAACCTCCAGAAGCCTCAGCCAGCTATTTAGAAGGCATCTACTGAAAACATCTGGCAGATGCTTTGGTGAAAGGGATTCCCCAAGGTGTCAGATTCACACATCCTTCATCTATTTTCATATACTGAAAAGTCATATTGGGCAGGACCTCCTATGGTGAGGACATTGTCAAGAATCACACAAGATCAATCAGTAAACATTTATTAAGCACCTACTGTGTTCCAGACTCCATGCTAATCATTGGAGATACAAAAAGAAGCATAAGAAAGGCCCTGCCCTCAAGGAGCTTACAATCTAACAGGAGAGGGAAGAGACAGCATACAGACAGATGTGTGTGTGTGTGTGTATGTATCAAGCTATATGCAGAATAAATAGAAGATAATTAATACAGGGAAGGCACTGGCATTAAGAAGGGCTGGGGAAGCCTCCCTATAGGTGAGCAGTAAAGGTACTATTCCACACTTAAACCTCTATTTAAAAGCAATGAAATAAAATAAATGTATAGATAGGAAAGGGATTAGAGGAGGATCAGCTCAAAGAAGATGTTATTGTTATTATTTTGTTAAATGTTGCATATTTCCCTTTTTTATTCAATTGCAGATAATTTTGAATTTATGATATTATGTATAATCTTTTCCCTCATTTTATTTACTTGTTTTTTTAAGGCTAAAATACATATTTTTTAAAAAGTCATCAGGGGCAGCTAGGTGGTACAGCGGATAGAGCACCCGCCCTGGATTCAGGAAGACCTGAATTCAAATCTGGCCTCAGATACTTGACACTTACTAGCTGTGTGACCTTGGGCAAGTCACTTCACCCCATTGCCTTGCAAAAAAAAAAGTCACCAATGGGGTGATGTCAATGTAGTGGGAGTCAAATCACTGGGGGCCTGGTCCAACTGGACCAGATACTAGTTGTGGCTTTTGTCAAGACTTCTCTGGGCCTCATCTCAGTTCCCTCCTATGTCAAATGAGGGATTCCATCTAGAGGCTTTCTACAGACACATTGCACTAAACGTGCTTATACAAACATGAGCATCAGGACATACACAGCCTCTGCCACTACCTGGGTGATCTTGGACAAGTCACCTAACCTCCCTGGGCCTCAGTTTCCTCAGCTGTAAAATGAGGGTGTTAGACTTGATGGCTTCCATATTTCCTTGTAGCTCTAATATTTTGAGTCTAAATCTGGAAAAGGAAAATTTTCTAGGAAAGCAGGAAAACATAGACACTAAAGAAGAACTTGAGCTAACTAAAGAACTGGAATTCAACTGATCAGTAAACACTTATTAAATGTCTAGTACGTGCCAGGCACATAGCTTAGCACACTAAGAACTGGGGATACAAAAAAAAGAGGCAAAAGATAGTCCTCGCCCTCGAGGAGTTTAATGGACTGAAGAAAAGCTCGAGGAAAACTTCCAGTAGTTAATAGAACCATGTTTTATCTACATGGAAAATGAAAGTGGCTGGAGATATGAGGGTAGGAGGAAATCCTTTTAAACGGTCATCTTTTATCTGGGTGGGAAAACCTTTTTCTTGAGCAATCTTTTACAATTGCATGATTTCATTTCTATCCCTGACTTCCTGCTTGTTGTTGTCTTCCCAGAAGAAAAAGTACAAGAAGATGATGTGAAAGAGATGCCTCAGTCTGTTTCAGAAAGTGTATCCGTGTTAGTGAGAGCAGATGCTCCTGAATTGGGGACATCAGAGAGTGTGGCTTTGAACACAGAGGAACCTGCAGACGTGATAGAAAGCATGTTTCCATGGAGGGACAATTTCTTTGAAAAAATTGAGAAAAGATCCATAGCCATGCAGAATAATGTAATCAATAAGTTTCTCCTGCAAAAGGAACTAGACAAAAAGATGGATAAAAAGTTCCCTTTGGATGACTTGGCCAATGAATGGTTAAATGATGACAAAAGGACATTGGATACTCAAACCTATTTACTTGAAAAGCTGTTGCCTACACTGATGCCAGGGGTTGAAAAAATGTTAATGGAAGTGGAAAAGAGGAAGCTTTTGGGATTGAATAGGAGGACCAATTTTAATCCGATTAATTATCTGGGGGAATACCTGATGAGACATAACCCCAAATATCAAAAAGAATTACCAGAATCTAGTTATCTGAAAGCAATGAAAAATGTCACGAAGGAGATGAAAACCCGAATTCCTGACACTCCCTTCAATAGGTGAGTTTTGGTATGTTTTCTAGGATGGTTGATCGCCTTCTGCCAAAATAAAAACAAAAAACAAAAACTGGGAAGGTGGGGATTATCTAAGTCAAACATGCTGATTAGCATATTCCTAATAGCCGAGAGCCTGAAAGAAATGATTCTTTATTGATTTGATAAGAATGATTTTGATGGCATAGAATGATGGAAAGATATTTGGATTTGGAGTCCTGTTCTCACTCCCTGCTTTCTGTGTAAGCTTGGGAGTTAATTCTGTTTCTCATCTATAAAATGGGGGGTTCTTTGCCTGATCCAGCCTATGTGCCCAGCACTGAAGAGCACAGCAGCTTATGTTTATATAGCACTTTATGGCCATAGAGCACTTTCTATTCATTATCTCAATTACTTTGTTCTTTACAATAATCTTTTGAGGTTTCAGGATCATAGATTTAAGGTTTGAGGGATACTTTGAAGCCATCCAGTCCAAACCCCTCATTTTACAGATGAAGAAACTGAGCCCCATAGAGTTTAAGGGACTTGCCCAGGGTCACAAGATCCTCGGACTCTAAATTCATCATTCAATATCACAAGTATTATTATTCCCATTTTACAGATAGAAAAACTGAGGTTCACAGAGGTTAGATGACTTCACAGAGGTCACATAGTTAAATATTAGAGTCAGGACTTGAACCCATGTTTTATGACTCCCTGTTCTGCTATATCTACTTTTTCTCTAGAATACAGATGAATATAAAATGTTTTCCATACCCTCAAGGAGCATATCTTGTCAGAGAGACAAGATTTATATGCATAAAACAGCATGATAGCAATTCAGTTCAATAAACATTCATCACATGCCTCACTTGTGCATGACACTCTGCTAGGCCCTAAATGAAACTGTCCTTGTCCTTAAGGAACTTACATCCTATTTGGGGAGATAGGAGGTAACAGGAACATGACACATGCACAGACTGGGACAATTCAAGAGAGGCAAGGGGAGATGTGACCAGGGCTCTGGGGATGGTTGAAAAGGTAGAGAGCATAGCAGGGCAGGTAGGTGGCGCCATAGTGCACAGAGCCCTGGGCCTGGAGTCAGGAGGACCTGAGTTCGAGTGTGACCTCAGACACTTCCTGGCTGTAGGACCCTGGGCAAGTCATTTCACCCCGCTTGCCTCAGTTTCCTTATCCGTAAAATGAGCTAGAGAAGGAAATGGCAAACCATTCCAGTATCTCTGTGTATATAATAATTATGTGTATATAATAATGATAACAAAAATGATTTAACTTTTATATAGTACTTATCCCCATTTTCCTGATTAAGAAACTGAGCCAAACAGAGGTTAAATGACTTGCCCAAGGTCACATAGTATCTGAGACCTGATTTGATCTCAGGTCTTCCTAACTCCAGGCCCAGGACTGCACCCACTGTGCGACCTACACTAGGCCCATAACTAGAGCTTGGCTATCAAGCCTGACTTGCAGTTTGTTGTTTAACCCTCCAAACTACACTAACTCGATTTGCAGATGCAAGACCCCTCACCTGCTCCCCGTCAGGAAGAGAATCATGGAAGAGATGAGGTGTGAGCCAGGATGACCAAGATCTGGATAGCAGGAATGGAGGGAGGGGGAAGGGCTTTTCAGACGGGGGGGGACCCGAAGGAGCCAACAGATGCATGTGAGATGAAACGTGGAGTTTTCATGGAACAGTGAAGAAATTGGTCCACTTAGAAGAGAAGTTTTTTCTTGCATCTGTTTTAGAGAGACGTGAGGATATCTAACTAGGTAAGAGACAAATTCTGGAGGGCTTTGAACACGAGTCTGAGAAGTGTGGTCTTTAACCCATAGATGATGGAGACAGCATGGTATAGTGGAAAGAAAATTGATTTTGGACTCAGGAATCAGAAGCCTATGTTTGAATCTCACCTTGAAAATCATTCCTTATGTAACCACAGACAGATCTCCTAACCTCTTGGAGCCTCCGTTTACCTATCTATAAAATGACAGTGTTGGACTAGACAATCACTGAGTCCCTTCCAGCTCTAGATTTGATTCTATGACCTCTGAGCAGCAGAATTGTGCAGTGCATGGCATTTTAGAAAAATTAATTTGATAGCATTGAATGAGAATAAGACTGGATAATCAGATCATGTCCCTGTCCTGAGACTCAGTTTCTTCTTGGACTGTATCACTAAAATTCATTTCAACTCTGAAAAAAAAAACCAAGCAAAAATCTAAGACTCTTAACGTACCACCAGCCTTCCCTTTGGATAGCATCTTCTAATACAGCTAGGTCCTAATCAGTGTAAGTAATGAATCCCCTAAAATAGCTGTATGTATTAGAATTCACACTACCTAAAGTTATGATTATGTAAAATAACTCCAATGGAAATATGTGATGTGAGTCCAAATAATGTGACCACAGGATTCATCATTTGAACTATTTTGGACCTAGCTGCATTCAGCCCATCCCCAAAGGTGACCCACATGGGTCACTTTTGTACTTTAACCCTGGATTCCTTTCTGTTGGACAAACCAAGCTATTTGGAAGCTTCAACAGCAACAGTTCCCATGGAACTAGATCATGGGATCCTTGGCCTGGCAGGGACCCTAAAGGCCATCAAAGTCCAGCCCTCTCATTTTAAAGATGGGTTGGCTGAAGCCCATAGATCAAGTGACTTATCCAAGGTGACAAAGAGCAAATGAAAGAGGCAGTTACAAACCACCCCGACTCTCTGACCCTATAGACCATGCTTTCTCTACTCTACCACATTGCCTTTTGTGAGGCATACCTCCCTCTGCCGTCAAGTCAGAGCTAACCTTGCACATTGGTTGTAGGTGAGAACTTAGAACTTTTATTCTTAGCTAGAGACCAGATCTCGGGAGTTTTGATACTAGTGCCAGCAACATGCAGGGAGCTGTATCATCAAATTGAATAAGTAACTTGAAGAACATTTTCTCCTACCATCTGTTCTTATGGAGTAATGAATTAGATTTATACTTAGTCCTATCTGCATAAATAACACCTACAATTTAAGAACTGGTTTCATGAAATTTAAATCAATATGTTGACAAACACTGCCCACCTATGTGTTGAAATATAGCCTATGAAAGTTCCTCCTGAGGAGATAAATATGGTTAAATAACAGCACAATCCTATTTCAGATGCAATCATGCAGAATGGCAGAGATAGGAGGGACCTCAGACATCATGTAGTCCAATCTTTTCATTTTATAGATGAGGAAACTGAGATCGAGGGTGAAGTGATTGGTCTAAGGATCATGTGTTACTAGAGCTGGAAGTGACCTTAGTGATTGATCATCTGGATTAACCCCTCCATTTTAGAGATGAAGAAACTGAGGCCCAAGGAGGTTAAACAACCTGCTGGGACTATTGAAAGATCTCTTACTAGGATTCCCATCTTCAAATCTTTTCCTGCTCTAATCCATCTTCACACAGAGGCTGAAAGAATCTTCCTAAAGCATGGGTATGACCATGTCACCCTCTCCCTCAGGAACCTTTGTTGGCTCCCTCTTGCCTCCAGGATAAAAAACATACTACTTAGCTTGGCATTTAAAACCCTTCACAGGGGCAGCTAGGTGGCGCAATGGATAGAGCACTGGCCCTGAAGTCAGGAGGACCTGAGTTCAAATCCGGCCTCAGACCAAACACTTGGCATGTACTAGCTGTGTGACCTTGGGCAAGTCACTTAACCCCTATTGCCTCACTCAAATAAAATAAAATAAAACCCTTCACAGTCAGCCTCAAGACTGCCTTAGACTTACTGCACATTATTCTCTGTTTCTGCCTCTAAGCCCAGCACTCTACCTACTGCGCCACCTAGCTGCCCAATTTCCCTTACTCTAGATTTCAGCCAAATTTGCCCACTTGTGACTCTCTAAATATGACATTCCTCTCCCACCTCCAAGCCTTTGTATAAGCTATTCCTATGCCGGGACTGCCCTGCCTTACTTCTACTCCTTAGAATCCTTACCTTCCTTCAAAGCTCAGCTAAGGTTCCATCTCCTTCTTGAAGCCTGTCTGGATCTCTGTCTCTCTGTCTATCTCTCTGTCTCTCTTTCTGTCTGTCCCTCCGTGTTTCTCTGTCTCTCCAGCCCCCTCCACTCAAGTTATCATGTATATGCTTACTTGTTTACATATTACAACCCCACTATACAATATAGGCTTTGAAAGGAAAGATTGTTTTTGATTTTGTCTTTACATCTCAAATGTCAACATCAAAGCAGAATGATTTAATGGTTAGAAACCTGACCTTGAAGCCCAGAAAGAACTGAGTCAAAATCCTGCCTTTGACATACACTTAACCTCTCAAGGCTCTGGGCAACTGATAGAAGTCCCAGAGAAAGTGCCAGCCTGCCTAGGTAGAGGAAATTTCCTCATCTGAGAGTTTCCAATGCTGATGAAATCACAAATCCAGCCTCAAAGTGCCACAGCTGGATAAAAGTGAAGAACTCAATTCTTTTGACTCTTTCAGGGCTCTTTATGCCAAATGTAGAGATAAGTAAGATTCATGGAATACCTAAAATAGTTGTAGTCCGAGTTAACAATATCTGTGGCAGGAATAGGAATGAGCCCACTAAATGTCTACTTTGGTTTCCTTCTCAGAGCAAGAGTGATAGCACAAGATCATTCATTTGCCTCACTCAGGTCACTCTGAATGCTGGGAGAATCAGCCATTCTTTGCCAGGGACATTGTTTTTACTTGGACAAATACTTTTTTCTGGGAAGCCTTTGAGAGAGTCGGAGTAATTAAGGATGCTCTCCCAGGCTAGATGGATGAGATTAGAGCTTCATCTCTCTATGGCAATAATCCAGAATCTGCATGTCAACAGATGGCAGAGTCAGGCGATTTTGTCAAATGTTCGGCGATTGTGGGGATGCTGCTCGTGGCAGCATGTTCTCCTGCCTGGTGCCTGCTGGCTTGCAGTTCAGGTGCCCGGGTTTTGTAATAGAAAATGGTGAGGCTTTAAAAAAAATTCCGAAATAACCGATCACTTGCG